GATCGATCTTTCTCAACCCCACCTCGACCAGCCATGTTGCTCTGACCGGCGAGGATGAATATGTTCTTAGGAGAAGTAGCCCCTGAAAGGGAAGGACCACATAGCATCGTCATACATAACAAGATCGATAAAACCATCTTGACCCTTTGTGTATGTGCAAATAGACACAAAAGGAAAGCGTAAATGGATGGAAATGAAACTTCCCTTTGTGTCTATTTGCACATACACAACTACTCTTCCTCAAAAACTCTAATCGTTTTTGTTTTTTTATTGGTTGGCTAATCCTTGCCTCTGCCTTCCTCCCTGATCGATCCTCACTTTTTATACTCAATTTTGGTTTTATTTTTAGTATGATATATAGCTTTTAAAGTTAAATTTTATTAGTTAATATTTGTGGGTAATGAGCGTTTGTCGCCCTAAATCATTTTGGATCCCACCCAAGTTGCTAAATATATCAAATAGACATTTTAATTTTATTTTGATTAAAATTTAATTTTTTTATTTTGATTTTGGGAAAATTATAAGTTTGATCATTAAACTAGTGTGTTTTCTAACGAGTCACTTAACTTTTAATGTTATGTCCAAAAATGCAATATGTTCGTATTTGATGATAGTACAAGTGTACAATGTCAAATTTTAACATAGATGATGCGAAAAAGGATGGTCGTACTCCAGGACTGGTTAGAAAAAATTAAATAAAAAGTAAAAGATGGACATTTGATTTCATATTATTGATTTATAAAAGCATGTCAATTAATTTTATTTATTCTCTCTCGTGATTTGTAGGCAAAAATTCTTATTTATCAAACTAGTAAGTTTGGCCTAATTTTTAATTTCAGTTCCAATATGCCCTGTCTAAAATTAAAAATCAGAAATTGATTAACAACAAATTACTTCCAAGATTACTGTCCAAGTCGATGAAACTAGAGAAAATTAATACCTCTTACCAAGTTCAATGGTAAAAATTACCCTTTCACTCATTTTAATTATAGATTTTTTTACCTGAAAAAAACAGTGAAACAATTTTGGAAAACTTGGCATAAAGATCCAATCATACTATTCCTAAAATTCGCCGGTTATTGTACCTTAAACTTTTAATTTCTTCAAATTAAATCATAACTTGTATGGGTGTTGCAAATATTTACCTAAATCTAAATAAACTTAATAACTTTTACCTTTATTAGACTTTAATTTTGAAAAATATAATCATTAAAAAGTTATATTTTTGTTTGTCATCCAATCAACAAGGCGGGATGGGACTGAGGATACTTCCTCCCTATATCCGCCTCAAAATCATTCTCCATCTCTGCAAATTTTTTATTGTATTAGTCAAGAATTGGGATGGGGTTGAAAGGGAAGCAGCTCGGATCACCGGCTAAGACCCCTAAATGATCGCTCGGTGATAAAGGAGATAAGAGTGCAGAGACAGTTAGGTGGTTTGCCTAGAAACAGCCACCCTTGAAAGAGTGCGTAATAGCTCACTGATCGAGCGCTCTTGCGCCGAAGATGAATGAGACTAAACGATCTGTCGAAGCCCTCATTTAATTAATTTTAGGATTTGGCTGTTTAGTGTTTTTTTTTCTTTTGCCAAAAATTATATGCATTGATGATTGATTCCATGGATGTTAATAATATATATATAACAATCTATTAAAATTGTTAATCCTGTAATCTTCTAATCAACTGCACGCATCATGAGAAGACACATTAAGTACTCTAAACTGATGATACCAATGAAACTTCAACTTACTAGAGAACAACCTAAGTCTTTGAGTTAAACAACAATACCATTTCTCCTTCTCTAATTTGCTTAGGTACTCTATCATGTCATTGTCATCTAAAAGAAGTCAAACCCTAAGGCATGCTAATGTAACTCTCCTCCGGCACTCCCTAGTAGCCACCAAGGAAGAGGGTATTCTTCCTTTCTTTCTCCCAAAAAGTTCTCATACACTGATTCGTTGAAGATCGATGAGATATAGTTGGGAAGATCTCGTTAAGCCCACCCATCTACTATACCTTTGTCATTTGAAATGTCAGGAATTCAATACCCTTTGTTTTTCGAAAATGTTTTAATTAAAAGTCATCAACTAGATTCGCTAAATCTATTTCTAGTGCATGATTCCGCTGCACCTCGCAGCTAAATCATGCCTTCTAGAAAAATATAAAAATCACATCCAAACGTTAAAGACCAAATAGAAATGAAATTTAAACCTCAGAGTCCAACAATGTCACACTTTTAAAGCTTGAACGATCGTCCTATAATAGAATCTAAACCCAAACCTCAAGAACCAAATAGAAACTAAATCCAAACCTAAAAACAAAAAGGTGTCATTTTGAAATATCGTCAAACAAATAGAAACTAAATTCAATTCTTATGGACCATAAATATAATTTACCCAAATCACTTATTGACCTTGATAGGTGATAATAAATGTGTTTTATTTTAGGCTAAATATATCTTTTTGGTCCCATGTTTGAGTGATTTTTTAAGTGCCCATTGTTTAAAAAGTTTTAATTTAGTCCCGTATGTTTCAACATTTTTCAATTTTATCTTTACCGTATAGGTAAATGTTAAAATTGATTGATGATAAACTTATACGACATAATATTTAGTGAATTGGCAGAAATTTAAAATAAAAAAGTATCTAAGAGGAAGTAAAGTTTTAAATTCCTCGAGAAATTGGTACAAATTTTGATTTTTCTTTTCCTAAATCTCTCCCAATACACTTAGTATTAAGTTATGTAAGTTTACCGACAAGGAAATTTCAAAATTCAAAAACAATGAGACACTAATAGGGACTAAATTGAAAAAGTTCTCCAACATTTGGGATTAAAACATATATTTAGTCTGTACTTGATTATGTGATAAATCATTAATGATTATTGAACTTGGTATTAGCTATCATTACAGTAATCACAAGCTTATCTATATATTGATCAATTGATATCAAAGTAATTACTAAGTTTATATCGAACTTTCAAGATTCTAGTTCAACTCTCAAAAATGTCTATTTTGATCTTAAATATGTTAGGTTTCTTCCTTTTTGGTTCATACATTTTCAAAATGTTTATTTTAGTTCACATTGATTCTTACTTTTAACAAATGGACAATGTTAACAAATAAAAGAATATTAGGTGACAAAATAATAACAAAAACCTATTTCTGAAAATTCGAGATTAAAATACACATCTTAAAAGTTTAAAATCAAAACAATTATTTATTTACATTTTCAATCATAAGTTAAGTTATTAAGATTAGAGACTAAGTTTAAGGACTTCTTATAAAAAGTCTAAATAAGTCAAGTAGGAATCAGACTCTTATTTAGAAGGAACAGTTGCTTACCCGAAATTACACCCTTTTTTTTTGGGAAATTACACGTGTTTTATAATTATCCTCAAAATTACGTTTTCAATGGCGACACGTAATGCATTAAAAATAAATGACGTGGCGCGTGGCCTTCTCGTTCTGGTTTCGGGAAGTGGAGAAGCAAAGGATGGGAAATACCGTACAGCAATTGGACACGTTGATCACGAAGCAGCACAAACTTCAATTAATTAATTTTTTAATATTCTAAATTTCCATTATTTTTTACCGTAAAGAAAATACAGGGCAACCAATAAAATTGTTGGCATAGGGATTTTCTCCGGATTTCGTTTGTTCTTCAAAATCAGTAGAAAAAAAAATAGTTCTTTACTTCTTTCTACCGTAACAGCGACCTCTCTGTTGCTTTCCATGTCCCCAAGATCTTTCGTCGAATGTATCGTGCAAATGCTCTTCTCTTCCTCACCTCAAATTGAGTTCGCGGCTCAAATTCAAAGATTTTTCCGCACCTTCTGATTCAGAAATGCAGCGGTTTCTCCATGTCTTGTCGATGCTTCAACGCAGAACCGATTCCACTTCTTCTGCTTGAGTGTTCGAGTTTATGAGCGCTGCTTCTGCGATGAACGCCACAACATCGATCCACCTGTTTCGCCAGAATCAGACTGCAGTTACAGTTGCTTTCCAGCAGTTTGTTCAGACTATTAATGGCGCCAATCATCATCATCATCCTCCCAGTGGTACGCAGAGGAGGAGGATTCGTGTTGTTAAAACCAATAAAAATGTGAAGAAGCCGAATAGTCTCGAGATTTCTTCTCCTTCTACTGGCAACCTCGCTGCTGCTGCTAAAATTAGCATCAGTACTGGGAGTTCAGTCGGCGCTGAGACGGAGGCGCAACCGAAGCGGCCACCTCCGGGTGAACTGGAAGGGAAGAGGGATAATAGGTCGGTTAACGTGCGTGGTATCTATCAGAATGGGGATCCTCTTGGGCGGAGGGAACTGGGGAAGAGCGTGGTCCGGTGGATTGGGCAGGCCATGCGAGCTATGGCCTCAGATTTCGCTTCTGCGGAGGTTCAGGGCGATTTCTCCGAGCTACGGCAGCGGATGGGCACGGGGCTTACTTTTGTAATTCAAGCCCAACCGTATCTCAATGCGGTGCCTATGCCTCTTGGACTTGAAGCCGTCTGCTTGAAAGCTTGTACTCACTATCCCACTCTCTTTGACCATTTCCAGAGGGAGCTTAGGGATGTTCTCCAAGATCTCCAAAGCAAATCACTTTTTCCTGATTGGCGCCGCACTCAATCATGGAAGCTCCTCAAGGAGCTCGCTAATTCAGGTTCCTTCAACTACAATTGTATTTCTTGCGTGAAAATAATGTTTTTGAGTTTATTCTGGTAGAATTCGATCGAAGAACTAAATTGAATTCTATTGGAACGCTAAAAAGTATTCATGTAACAAAGATTTCAATGTTTATTTATCAAATGATTTTGAAATATAAGTAACGAATTTCAAATCTTATAATTCTAAATGGACCCCATGAAAGTGTATTTCTTGTTTGTTCGATTAGGAACAAGTTGCTTGACTGGGAACTGACATGTTGCATTTTCAGCTCAGCATAAAGCTATAGCACGTAAGATAAGCCAGCCAAAGGCTGTTCAAGGTGTTTTAGGTATGGACCTGGAGAAGGCCAAGGCCATACAGAACAGGATTGATGAGTTCGCAAACCGCATGTCTGAATTACTTCGCATTGAGAGAGATTCCGAGTTGGAGTTTACACAAGAGGAGTTGGATGCAGTTCCTACACCAGATGAGGGTTCGGATCTTTCCAAACCCATCGAGTTCTTAGTCCATGGCCAAGCTCAGCAGGAACTCTGTGACACTATATGCAATTTGAATGCAGTTAGCACGTCTACAGGTCTAGCTAATGATTTCATTTTATAAAGGTGTTTCAAGCAATTTGCTTTCTTCAAATTTTGATCTCGGTTTTACTTCAATCACTTGTTCTCCAACATGCTTGAGAAATTAACTTTTATTGGTATTCAGGATTGGGGGGGATGCATTTGGTATTATTCAGGGTTGAAGGAACCCATAGATTACCGCCTACAACCCTTTCGCCAGGAGATATGGTTTGTGTGAGAGTTTGTGATAGCAGGGGTGCCGGTGCAACTTCTTGCATGCAAGGATTTGTGAACAATCTGGGGGACGATGGTTGCAGCATTACCATAGCCCTAGAATCTCGTCATGGTGACCCTACCTTTTCTAAGCTCTTTGGAAAGTCCGTGCGTATTGATCGTATTCCAGGATTAGCTGACACTCTCACTTATGAGGTACATGGTGAATTTTTCTTGCTTCGCTCATTGAATTACTCGACCTGCATTGTTATCTTCAAAAAATTTTCATGAGATTTTATTTACTTAAAAAGTTATATCTGAACTAAGTATAAAATCTTTTACAGCGCAACTGTGAAGCTTTGATGTTGCTTCAGAGAAATGGTTTGCAAAAGAAAAATCCTTCTATTGCTGTAGTGGCTACATTATTTGGTGATAAAGAAGACATCAAGTGGATGGAAGAGAATGACTTGATAGATTTGGCTGAAACCAACATGGATGGCATTGTGCTCAATGGAGATTTTGATAATTCACAAAGAAGTGCAATTTCTCATGCTTTGAATAAAAAGCGGCCTATATTGATAATCCAAGGGCCACCTGGTACTGGAAAGACAGGTTTGCTAAAGGAACTTATTGCACTTGCTGTTCAACAGGGTGAAAGGGTGCTTGTAACAGCACCCACTAATGCAGCTGTTGACAACATGGTTGAAAAACTCTCAAACATTGGGATAAACATTGTTAGGGTAGGAAATCCAGCACGGATATCTTCAAGTGTTGCATCCAAGTCTTTGGCTGAAATTGTAAACTCTAAACTTGCAAGTTTTAGAACAGAGTTTGAAAGGAAGAAGGCAGATCTAAGGAAAGACTTGAGACATTGTTTAAAGGATGACTCGTTGGCTGCTGGCATACGCCAGCTTCTGAAGCAGCTTGGAAAGACACTAAAAAAGAAAGAGAAGGAAACTGTGAAGGAAGTACTCTCAAGTGCCCAAGTTGTTCTTGCCACCAACACTGGAGCGGCCGATCCTTTAATTCGTAGGTTGGAGAAATTTGATCTAGTTGTTATAGATGAGGCGGGTCAGGCGATTGAACCTTCTTGCTGGATTCCAATATTACAGGGATCCCGTTGTATTCTTGCAGGTGATCAATGCCAACTTGCTCCTGTGATCTTGTCTAGAAAAGCCTTGGAAGGTGGTCTTGGAGTGTCATTGCTGGAGCGGGCTGCAACCTTGCATCAGGAGACTCTAACCACTATGTTAACCATACAGTACCGTATGAATGATGCAATAGCTAGTTGGGCTTCAAAGGAGATGTATGGCGGAATGTTGAAGTCCTCATCAACAGTCTCTTCTCATCTTCTTGTAAACTCTCCATTTGTCAAGGTATATGCTCCAAAAATTACTGTATTGTGTTTTTGTATAACAGTCTTGACATTCATGCTGATGGAGGTTTTTGAGTTATATTTCTGAGAACATGATTCTTGATTATATGTAAAAAATCTTCTGTCTTATCATTTTGTTACTAGTTCCCTTCAAGTAATCTGTATGAGTTTGAGGTCTGCATGTGTAGAGTCTATTTCAGTTCCATTGTTAATAAATTTAGTTCTAAAAATGGGTCCAAAGACTTCAAAGTTAAATAAGGATGGGTAAGTCGGTAAGGTTCAGTTAGCTTATCTGTAGCAGCTCAAGAGACTGTATATTCTGGTTAATTGGTTAACAATAATTAGATCCATGGCTTCAAGGATATTATACTAGGAAAATTTCCCCCATAACTTAACTTTAGGGCTATTGTAGCTAAAATGAACTATGAGGTGATCTTTAAAAAGTTTAATATTTCTTCAATCATGCGATAATTTGTTCCTCTCGTCATTTGCCTCCACCACCTCGTGTAGAGAAGGTCTGTATTTGTATATTTGTAAAAATAGTAGCCTTTTCCACGTGGAGGACCTGGTCACCCACCTGGAGGTCCGCAGGGCCAAAAAGATCAGGAAGCTAACCGCTTCTGCATCCATTTGTTTTTTCTCTTGCTCATGAAAATTTGTGTGTATTTGTTTTTTACATTCATTGAAATTTTTAAGTATTTCAATACTGGAAATTTATTTTGTGATATAAGTGTGTGTATTCTTATATGGAGTCAAAATAGCTATTATGTATGTCTCCGTTTCTTATGTATAAAAAAATGAAGTGTATGTATCTTATTGTATAATAAAATTTCGTGAGTCTCCATAAGTTGCCAAAGATTACGGTCCAGGTTCTTTTACATCTTTTCTGAACCTTGTCTGTGTGGTACTTAGTAACTATTTTTCTTCTTTGCATCGATGCAGCCCACATGGATAACCCAGTGCCCCTTGCTATTGCTCGACACTAGAATGCCATATGGAAGTTTGTCCGTTGGTTGTGAAGAGCACTTAGATCCAGCTGGTACAGGTTCATTATACAATGAAGGCGAGGCAGATATTGTCGTGCAACATGTCTGCTCTTTGATTTATTCTGGTAATGTTCTTTACTTGTCAATATTGATAATGTTTTGCTGTAGTGCCTTTTAAAAGAAGATTAGGGAAGCGAATGATGAAAAATATAGAGGTTTGGTGAATGGAAGTGGGGGATACTGAAAAGATGGATTCTCTCTGAACTTTCAACCTTTTAGGAGCCAAGAGAAACTAGAGCAGATATATTATTTTTATTACAATGTTTAATAGGGGAAGATTGTTGTTTGGTCATAGATCTGAAAAAATGATTATCTTTTTAACACAGAAAATAAGCAAATATAAAGGACGTACATTTAGCAGCATTCAATCTACATATTGTGGAATGACAACAACTACTTATAACTTATAGGTATAACTCCAATATAAAATTTGTTTCATATAAACAAAATCAGGTGAAGTTTTAAAACTTTCAGAGTTTGTGACCCGTATGATTTGTGATTGAAAACTGTATTCTTCACAACATTGAAAAGGAGGGAGTGAATCATTTGAAAACTTTTTTAAATTTTTGAAACAGAATATTTTAGAACATCCTTCATTTTTTGAATGAAAGAGTATTAGGATAAGAAATGATATATAAATTGAAAAACATAATTTTTCATTGATGAAATGAAAAATTACATAAGAGTTACAACTGTTTTCTTTAGCTTTAAGGTTTAGGGTTTACAAATGATATATAAATTGAAAAACTTGTCATTAAAAATGGAACCAAAAGAACAGTATAAAGGCTTGGGGATGAGAAGCCCCG